GAACAGTTCTTTGAAATGACCTCATAAGGTGATATAATGACTTTTCACAAGGAGATCTGGAGACTGTAGGAACATGATGAGCGAGTATTTCACATACATCTGGATGTACTGTGTGACATATTAACACCACAGGCGTATCTGTTATTCCTGAGGGGCTAACCAAAAAACTTCACATCTTGGGCAGATGCAGCAGATAGAGCTGACAGAACAGACAAAGACTTACCCCTGGTTATTATAGCAGGCAAGAGATGAATGCAAGGGAATTCATCAGGGCTTTATCTTTGTGCTGTATGATGTGCAATTAACATAAAGCATGTGGCTACCTTAGAAATAAGAAGTAGACTTAGATGAACTAAGTACATATTGTGAATATAAAGTGTTAAGGATTTAATTTCTGTCACTCACCCAATAGCTTGAAGTTCGGTTTCCAGAATTGCACCTCTATCATCTTGCTGAGCTTGATTTCATCTGCAAGATCAGAAGAGTTGTTAGAAACATGGGTGGTGGCTAGCCAAGTCAGATTTACTCAGAAGCTGCAAATCACTAAATCCACAAAAGTGATAATATTCCATGTTGGTATTTTTGTTTTTAAACTTCTGAGTGGTTGGTACAACTTACAGATCTGGCAAGAGTTTGAATTCTAGAAGTACATTTTGTTGCCTTTCATACTCATATAACAGATCAGTATCACAAAAGCATAAAATCATAGAATCACAGAATGGATTCAGGCTGCAAGGGACCTTAAAGATCATCTGGTTCCAACCCACCTGCTGTGATCAGGGACACCTCCCACTAGAGCATTTTGCCCATGGCCTGATCCAACCTGATTTTAAACGCCTCCAGGGATGAGGCATTCACAGCTTTTTTTTGTGCAAATTGTTCCAGTGCTTCACCACTCTCGAGTAAAGGATTTCTGCCTAACTTCTAACCTTAATTTCCACTCTTATTCTGAAGCCTTCCCCCCTTGTTGTATCACTATCGACCAACATTCACCTACATTATTATTTTTAAAACCTACTTCCTCTTTCTTTCTGAAATCTTTAGAGTTTTCTACTTGGAGTGTAAAATCTCTGAGGCAGAGACTAGTTTTCCATCTTCTGCCTCTGCCATGGCTTCTAGGTACCCCAACAGTACCACTGCCAATAAAATAATAGTCTGTTCTCCCTTTTTCTCCTCTTTCCTGGTCTTATGTCAGTCTCTTGCTTTACGCTGTAAGATTGCACTTCTATTTGACTATTTATTATCATTATTTTACCTTCCTGCTATGTTCTGTCTTCATTTTTCTGTTGCTTCAAAACTGCATAACATTGAACAAAAAGAGGAAGAACAGTTAACAGTGGCAAAGTACTGCATTATCACTAAAAACAAATTGAGCTGTTCCTTCCAGTGGTTTTGGTGACCAGCAGTTCAACCCCTCTTTATCTGCCAACTGCTTCTCACTAACACCTGTATGCAGAACTGTCTGTAGAAATAGGCAAAAATAGCAAGTTGCCTGTAATAGCAGGTTATTCTGGAGCAGCAGTGTGGTCATGACCTTCTGATTGCTCTTCCTATGCCAGAGCACTGCAAAATCCAGCTGGGAGCAGCTTTTAATGGGGCTGAAGAAACGCAGTTGATAGGTCCAGCACTTGGTGTGGTCACAGAAGCAGCAGGTTCCCTAGACAGCAAAAATGGCACCAAAAATCAGATCTCTGGAGCTCTAATGCTGAGTCTTTCACTCAACTCTGTATTCAGGTCTTTCCCTTTCAACAACAGAATTATGGCTTTCTTTTGTAATTTCCTTCCTCATATATAAGCTCAGTTAAACCACAGTGACACTGCCTTGTGGTTTAGGCATTTTAATTTTAAAGTTTGCCTGCCACTGAAAATTTTTCTTACTGAAACAGTCCCTGACATGACCACAGGTTGGACCCTGGTGTCTGCAATGTAGAGAAATTATTCAGGGAATAAGAGTGAATGTGCTCTGGGCTAACTCCACTCGCCTTGCAGAGAAGAGTCAGAGGAAGCACTTTTGAAGATCTTGAGTGCTTTTAACTAAGGCACTAATGAAGCAATGGCTTTGCAAATAAAACAAAGGTGTCTTTCCACTAATGGTTGACCTCAGCAGAGAAGAAATGATCTCTTCAGTTTCTGGGTGGAGGTGTGAAGCATGATACAATTCAAAAAGCTGCTAGCAACCATCCCTTGCAACATCAAGAGTGGATCCCCAGGATGCGCAAGGTCAAGTCCAGCTCTGCAGGCTGACCAGCAGAGCTTTGCAGAAGGAAGTACTATAGGTACCATCAGATCTCTTCTGACTTATTGTACCAGAAATAATTTTCACACTGGTATTAGCAGTATTTGTCTCGCTTCTGACATGACTTTCCAAAGGCTGCATTTTTGCTAATGCTCCAGAGCCTGTTTTCTGTTTTCTAGTTCAAATGACACAGCACATGAATAAATTCCCTGTCTTTGGACTCACAGCATGCAGTATTGGTCAAACTGCCGAAGTGATACTTCTTCATGTGCTATCTGTGCACTTAATTATATATTAAATTTTATTTTCAACAGCTGCCAATCTGGTACATTGCAGAAGTTAAATTTAAATTAGAATACGAAGAAAAAAGCTCTGAGTACTCACCAGTGAGGAGAATTTGCTCTGCATTTGCTGCATGTGTGTCAATATATCTGGTATTGTGTAAAGGCATATTAGCAATGAGACAATAGTAAATTATGGCTAGCCTTTCAGCTGTGCAGACTATAACCACTTTAGTAGAAATAAAGGGAAAGCAAGGGATTAGAAGCAGTTTTAGGATCAGTTGCTTAGAGAGACAAAGGGGTGATGTTTAATGCTCTAAGCTACATTGATTTTTCTTACTGGAAAAAGTCAAAAGAAGGAATAATTTTCACTTTTCAACTAAATTACATGAAGATCTTATAAATTAATTTCTTAGTAGCCAGGTAGAGTTTAATTACACTAGACAAAGATAAGGTAGCAGTACTTCTCTCCTGAGGGTAACCTTCAGAAATGGATTCAGAACATCATTAAATCATAAGCTCTGGAGACTGATTTGGTTTTGTGACCATTTATAATCCAATTAACAGTAAACAAATAGACAAATGCACACAAATTCCAAGCTCCATCCAAACTGTCTACACAAAGTACATTGAAGTTTAACTTCCATAGCTTTCTTTAGTGCAGAAGATGCACTAAAAGAGGTGCAATAAAAATTGTTTCTTTTAGCAAATTGTAGATATAAGCACATTTAAAATTTTATTTTTTTTTCTAAAGAGCCTGATGGCCCCCAACATGCTTCCCATCAGGTCCTCGTTACTATTATCTTTTGCAAAGCAAAAATAAGGAAAGAAAGAAAAGCACTACAACATTTCATCATATGTAGCAAGATTTAAAGCTTCTTTGGAGAAATTGCACCTTGTTATCTAGAAATACAACTATGCTTTCTGAAAACAGTCAAAGATGACTTAATGCAGAAACTCATCTACTTAGAAACACCAGCAAGTGAAAGCTTATTTCCCTAGTGCTCTGTTTTCCACTGGTTCCCCACTGAATACAGAATGAAGTTAAAGATTTCTGTCTCACGTTCAAAAGCCTACAGAGAATTTGTTGTTTTTATTTTCCTTAGCTGTAATTGGGACCTACTATATTAGATAGTTTGCAACATCATATCTGGGCAGTTCCTCCACTGGCTCCACTGCAATAAATAAATAAATGGACAAGACTGAGTAATGATTTTTTGGGCAAGTTTACAAAACAAGCTGGGAATTAAGCCAAATCTTGTGACATTCGCACTAGTTTCATGGCAGCCAAATCATACTGGCTGCCAAAGCTACCCAAGTAAGCACATCTTTTTCCACAAGCATCATCCCTCATAAGAACTTCTAATGTAATAGTGAAATTTCTAATCACAGGACACAAAGCAGTATTCTGCTTTATGTCAGTTGCAAAGTTTATTTTAGCAAGAAATTAGAGTATCAGCCCAGCAAGATCTGACAAACATGCTTGTTCTTTTGATTTAGCTTCCCAACAACCAATGCTTCTGTCCAAAGCTCTAGTCCAAGCAGGAGAAGAATGAAGATGAAAGATGGAAAAGAAAGTCACTGTTTCCTTAAAAGTCTTCTGGTATCTAGGTATCACAGAGTCAAAGACAATAAACATAGACAGATTAATAGGGAGGAACACCTGGAAATTAATTTTGCTTAATATTATTCATAAAATGTATCACTTGATCATCTTGAAACTTCTCTATCTCTCATCTTTGCTCATTAGAAATTTTAGCCCCAGATGTTTCCCATTTTTACCTGTTGGATTTGTGCTGATATGTTATATATTTATCTGCACTTGCATGTATGCCTGTGTGGGCTGACTGCTACTTGAAGGATTACCTTTTCAGATACATTCCCACTGAAACAGATACCTATGCAAACTTGTTTTGCAGCTGTTCTTCTAGATGAAGGCTCAGGAGGTCAGATTCTTAATAAGATTCTTCTATAAATTTAGTCAGCAAAGTTTTGCTGGACAAAATCAGCCATCCTTCCCATGTGCCCTGGACAGTACACCAAAATCACATAATGACAGAGGTGCTGAATCTGTCTCAGTGAATGCAGAAAATGCAAAAATGTAGAATAGCACGAATACTTGTCTTCCATATTTTACATTAAAGAGGTAAAAACTTACTGTAATTACAATGAAGTGCAGCTGTTGAATATCTAGATGGGTACATTTAAAGGCATGTACTTATATATATTCTTGTCTGAAGATTCAACCTTATTTATTACTAACTAGCTGCCCAGATCTGCTGATGCTTAGGTGTGTTGGTGAGCTACTACTTTAAAAAGAAAAGAATTGTGATTATAATCTGTATTGTTATTAACAAAAAGCATTTGTCTTGAGACAAAGCTTGAATCACATGAATATGTAACTGTATTATAACATCTGCCAAGAGGTTTGCAGGATTGTAGACAGAAGATGAAGTAATTAATTAAGGAATTACATCCACAAGGTGAAAAGTCCCCTAAGATAACTCTGCCAGAAGCTATTTTAAGGAAAGGATCTAGGGTTTCTTCATCTGAATAATTTCACGCAAATCTTTGAAGGCAATTCTTGTGTGCATGTGAATATATCTCCCCTCTTGCATAAGTGCTCTCAATCCTGTGGTCTCAAGTTTTTTGTGACAGATCCCAAAAATCTCAGACTGTTCCTATGCGATGAGGCTCTTTGAAATCTTGGACACGTTATCTAGCGTTCAATGTGCCTAAAAGTTACAGAAGATCTTTCAAATGCTGAAGATCAGATAGAATATTTATTCAGAGGAAGAGGGACTGTGTAGACATGTGTAAGAGATGGTGTCCATGGCTAATGCTGAGGATGATCATCTCATTCCTGACTTCTTTTCTGAGCTCTGTCCTTGGCAACAATGAGCAGCACAGGACGTCTTTTCCTCTGCTCACCATGTTGTCTTCCTTTCACCTTTCAGTGATTTCAGTGATGCAAAGCCTACACAAATTGACAGATTTTTGTTCACTATAAGGCCCTTTTAAATCACTAGATCAAAGAGCCTAACTCAAGCTCACAGAGAATCATAGTCATAGGGTCCCTTCCAACCCAAGCCATTCTAAGGATCATCAAGTTTCAATCCCTCTGTCACAGGCAAGGCCATCAACCTCCAGATCTGGTAGTAGACTGGTTTGCTTTGCCCAGGGCCTCATCCAATCTGGTCTTGAACACCCCCAAGGAGAGCACCTACAAAAAATAAGACATTCCAACTGTGGCTTTCCAGATTGGTGCAATAAAAAGACATTGAATCTTAATGGCAATTTGATACAAGTTTCTCAGTCTTGTCTGATGCTTTCCTATTTTTTGGATGCATCACTGCGGAAAAAAAAAAAAAAAAGATTAAAGAGCATCTTCTCCTCCTACTAGTTATTTGAAATATACTGTTGTTACCTTCCATGTGACTGTTTGGCTTAAGACTTCTGAAATGTCTTGTAAAATGCATGTATGCATAAGGGCACAATATCATGTAATATATCTACAACTCTTGTTACTGTTTCTATTCATTTGTAATAGCTTCCATAATGCTAGGAAAAAACTATATATGCACTAGCAGTTGTGTGCTTAGTATATTTATTTCATGAATGCTTTTCTTTTGTTTGCTTATTCTTATTTTAGAGGAAAAAATAGATCTCTTTTAATTTGATGACCTCCCTGGTACATTAAATACATGTCTTTCTGCTCTGCTTTTCATATTAGATTGTACTTTTTGCTCATCAAATTAGAATAATTCCATTTTCCAGTCTTTTTAAAGTAACAATAGTTATCTCTGGTTTTAGATAATGAGCAGGTTGAAAGGAACCATCTAAAAGAATTTCATACCATTAATAAAGCAAGCAAGGAAACAAACACAGAAATAAAACAGTGAAAGATAAATAAGAACAATTTCCTGTTTTCCTTTCACTAATTTCTGGCAAGATAGAGCATTTCTTCTCATTTTTACACTCTTGCACATATTTCAGTAAAGGCTTATGTTTGTCAAGGAAATATCTCATGGTCCTTAGATAGAGGAAGACAGGGACAGCGTATGTTGCTTATACATAGTTGATGGAAGAACAAATATCATCAACCAATTCAATTTCAATACTAGGCAGTAAAGAAAATATGTTATTTTAAAAATGCATTTATTTTGAAAAACAGAGCCTTTCAAAACCATGTCTGTCTTACACACCTTTCATACAAGATGTTTTGGGAACACAGGTACTGTAGATAGTTGTTTTATATTTGCAGCACACACAAGTATGCAGGAATTGCACTTGTGTAGTGTGTCATAAGCCTCAATGGAAGCACCTCCTCTGCTTCTGTTTACTTACCCAGAAGCCACAACCAAGCCCAAGCAAAATGGTTCCAGTAGCAGAAAATTACTAATTGTTACGACCTATATTTTCAAAAAATTCATAGATTCATAGAATAGCATGGATTGGAAGGGACCTTAAACTCATCAAGTTCCAATGCTCTGTCCCCCACTAGATCAGGCTGCCCGGGTCCTCGTCCAACCTAGCGTTAAAGGTCTCCAGGAATGGAGCATCCACAGCAGGCAGTCTGTGCCAGCATCTCATTGTCCTCTGAGTAAAAAAAATTCTTGATATGTAGCCTGAATTCCCCCTCTTTTTAACTTTGAAGTCATTCCCCCTTGTCCTGTCATTATCGGTTTGTAACAAAAGATGGTCCTCTCCCTGCTTATAACTTCCCTTCAAATACTGGCAGGTGGCAGTGGGGTCTCCATGTAGTCTTCTCTTCTCCATGCTGAACAAACCCAACTTCTTCAGCCTTTCCTCACAGGAAAGGTGCTCCAGCCATCTGATCATCTTCATGGCCTCCTCTGGATCTGCTCAAACAGGCATACATCTTTCCTGTGTTGGGGGCCCCAGGCCTAGACACAGTACTTCAAATGAAGCTTCATGAGGTCAGAGAAAGGGAAACCTGGTCTTCAGCTTACAGCCTGGTCTGGGCTTTGAATACCACATCTCCCAGCCTAGTTTCTTGCAGTCCTTCACCTTAGCTGTGCCTAATTACTGCATTAAATTCTGGCATTTTTCCCATTAATGAAAAGTCAATTGATTCAACTATGAGTCTCAGATAATAAAAGATGACTATTTAAATAAATAAATAAAGTGGCTATTACAATCCAGAACAATAGTAATTACCTGAAAGATGAAGAGGAGTGTTACAGCCAAACCACACAGGTACAAACCAAAAAAAACAACCAAACAAACAATCAACAGAAAAATCTCCACCAACACCAAAACAAGCAGATTTGAGTAGCCAGCATTGTAGAATGGGAACACAAGTTATTGCAGATGGTCATCCAGAAATATTTTGTTCACCAGTCTGTCAGATCTAAATCCATATCAGCAGAAAACAGAACTGCGTTGCCTCTTAACACTAATTGTAAATGGAGCTATTACAGAGCCAGGGAAGTCATTATGATAGCTCTTTTTCTAAGTCATCAGGCATCCTGTAAAACATGCCATGTTTATGATTGTAAGCATTGTATGGCTATAAGAACTGTACATCACGCCTGTCGTTCTGGAGGGACACCTGCTGACTGTTCATATGCCAGTTTGTAAGAAGGTATGCAGTTTAGCTACAAAATCTTCATTTTGCATCTCACAAAGCCAGACTGAGCTTTGGCTAACCACCCTCCAAACAACAGTTGAAGACACTGTCCTTTTAAGATTCAATGCAACAAAACCAAGAATAAAACACATATGTGTACAATCAATGAACATTAAGATGTTATAATTACAAAATAAACAAGAGAGTTTGGAAAAGCAGATTACAACAACAAAAAAAGAATAGATAGAAAGCTTACCCCTATCCTGGGTTCACTTCCAAAACTCCAGCAGAGCAAATCTCCAGAAGAGATCCTTCCCCACTGGCAGCCAGCTCTTAAATAGGTCTAGGAGAGGTGCAGCCAGGCTCCACCCCTTCCAGCAGCACAGGTGAATTGCCTTCACCTGTGCTCCTCTGGCTGACTCATGGCTCACCTCAGGTGATCAATCTGAGGCTCAGGCTGTGACAGCAGTTCCCATACAATATGCCAAATGCATTGTTTGTTCAAGGACAAAATTTTAGTTTGCTGATGCTATTAAAAAAATGGTGCCATATTTAGACATAAACATCTCTTGATGCTTTTTGCCCCAGGGGAAGTTCTACGAAATAGAATTACTAATCCAAATGTGAATATAGTGAGAAAAGGCAGTGCAGTTAACCAAAGATACGTATACTATGGCATAGCAGAGGGTACAACATCCCCTATTGGTTCCTAACCTCTTCCACAATGTGCTTGCCTTTTGGTCCTATGGCAAATAAGTGGATAGGCGACTGCCTGACTGCTCTGTACCTCTCATTCTACACCTTTTGTTGTGTTGTGTGGAACAGAGGTGCTTTGCACCTGTGCTACTGGTGCTTCCCCCGCTCTTTCCTACCTTGGTTGCTGGGGTTGTGGTAGGGTTCAGTGAGCTAGCATTTTTGCACAGCAAGCATTGTTGAGGACAAGTGGTATCTGTCCTTGATTTCTCTATTTCATGCAGCAGTGCTTGAGGACACAAATATCTGCACGGAGTGTTTATGGGCTGCATAAAAAAACTGTCCCCGACTTTCATGCTCACTCATCCTTAACCCCTGTAGATTTAAGAGATATACATAATAAATGATTCATTATGAGAAATTATCTCTGGAGATTTTTTTAATCTTATCAAAGCATAGACTATGTCAATCATATGCAAAGTCTCAAATGGAATTACTTCTCATAATCAACCACTCTTAAGTTTGCATCTCATTTTTACCTTTTTTTTTTTTTTTTTTAAGGGGATCTGATTCTTAGTTCCTCTTTTGCAAATTGAAAGAAAGAAATAATGTGAATTTAAACTAATCTTCAGGACACACAGCAGTCAGCAGAACAGCCTCTGAAGTCTTAGGATTACCAATAAACTTTCATTTAAAAAAAAAAGTCAATCACTTCAGGGAAATATATTTGTATCCCACTGGTTGCATACAAACAGAATAGACATAACACACATTAAATTAGATGTTTTATCATGTACCACAATATGAATGGTGCTAAACTACATATCTCATTGCAACAATGGCTTGTGACATAGTAAAGTGAGCTGTTAATGTTACTAATAACATTTCTGAATGTACAGCTGATAACTGGATAGACTTTGAGAAAAAGTAGGTAAAAAAAAAAGTTGACTTTTCAAAGGTAGAACTGGAAAAGACATCCAACAATTATCCAGATTCATGGAAATTGACTTGAGAGTCTTTATCATGAGTTTATAATATGCACGTAGGGACATTACCATTAAAAACTAGATAAAAAGTAGAGAAAAATAATTTTTAAACAACTTTAGGGAGGAAGTACACAGCCTGAATTGTGCAGCTTCCATTAAAGGTAATGAGTCTGTCAGTGTACATTTCTTGCATTGAAAATGTGCCCTTGATAGTCTCATTTAATCTCATCTAGAGACATTTCAAACTTCAGCCAGGAATGTGCTAAATATTATGCTGCATATGACCAATCAAGCACAGCCATAATTTTTTTAATCTGCTTAGTGCACAAAACTAATGCAGGACTCACCCACCTCCTGTTATTGTCCACGCTGAAAACCACCACCTTGCTGAGCCATGTGCACATTTTCTTACCAGAAAGAAGCCAGCCACTTCATGTCACCAATTATCCAAGTCTTGTTTTTTCTTTAAGCAAGGATAGTAAAAGGCAGGTAATTGAGAAGGTAGAGCAAAGATTCACATTCTCTTCTGGTGATCCATCTGGAATTTCTTTTTTTCAGGGTAGGTATTGGCGCAACGGATTCATTTAAGACTGATGCTAAATTTTCACAGGCTAGGAGCAGACCCAGGGATGGAGTGTGCTGAGGGGGCAAGTGTTTTAATGGGCACCTCCCTTGAGTCCCTGCAGAAAAAATAACATGTCTTTTCCTACAAAATTTGAATATAATTTATAGGTTTATGTATATTTCTGTTGAACCTATATCCACCTATAATGATTGAAAAGGCACCCACTTGTTTGGCAGGAATTTGAATGAATTAAAGACTTAATTTCTCTGTAAAACTATATGTATCCTCTGTATGTACTAACAGCACTCTTTATAGCCATGTTTTACCTACATCAATACACTCATTCATGAGAGCAAGCAATGTAAGCAATGTAAATTCTTCTCAGTTTTTTTAGCCAGAACATGTAAGAAACTGCATTTTCTGTTTCTGTAAGCAAAAATGTTCATCTTTATTTTTGTTTTCCCTCTCTTGACTGTAATGCTTGAAAGAATCCTATTCATATGTCTAAAAATAAAAAATAAAAAAGCAAAATGGTATGTGAAAGGTCATCAGATATGGAAAATTTTGGTTTACGATATGTTTCCTTGGAAAATTTTGAGTGGATCAAAAAAGACTTCAGAATGACAGTACATGTGGGACATTAACTCTCAGTAGTTCCAGGTAGAGCAATATCAAAATTTTTCAGAAGTTCATTTAAGCCTTGGCACTTTAAATAATTAAACCACAGAAATGTAGAAACTAAAGTGGATGTGATTTTGACAAATGTTAAAAAAATCCCATTTCTTTACTGCATGATTTGGTTAGCAACCAATCAGATGAGCAAAGTGCAGTCCATTCCCAATATGCACAATTCACTCAGCACACACAAAGCCCTGTATTTTATTAAAAGATATGGTGTGGAGCCAACATCCTAAGTAATGCAGGTGCAACTGAAATATCCAGTGATGATTTGGCCACATATATATGGATTACCAGAACCTAATATTGGCAAGAGTAGACGAAAGGAAAGGTCCCACCTGCATTCTATATGTGTGGCAGGTGCAGCTTAGTCTGTTGACTCAGTTGCAAATGTAACATCATTATTAACTCTACCTTGTCCTTTGATAAGAGTCTGCATGCTGTGCTTACAGGGTAGGGTGCAATGCACAGGCTTTCGTCATTTTCCTCTTTACTAAATAACTTCAGTTCTATTCCAGCAAAAGCATAATGCAAGGGAATAGGAGGTAAAAAATTATAGCAAGGTTTTTTCATAATCATAGAATAAATAATAGAATGGCCTAGGCTGAAAAGGACTTCAAAGGTCATCTAGTTTCAACCCCCCTGCTGTGGGCAGGTTTGCCAACCACTAGACCAGGCTGTCAGGTTTTAGATGTGTTGTGTGTGGGAATGCATGTTCTTAAATCCTGGAATAACCACTTGCATTTCTATACATGTAGAACCATTTTGAGAGATGACAGTTTGGCCCAGAAATGTTACCAATCAGTGTTTGAATGGGGCTTTTTAGGGTTCATTTCTAAGAACAACGCATAAAAAAACTGCATTTGGTGGTCAGATGAGTGAAGCACAAAGCACTAGTGAAATGAGTGATATTAAAGACCCAATTCTGATAACTCTTGTCCAGTAAAGGGCAGACTGCAGGGGAAGCTTCTGACTTACCTACCATATAGAACTGTCTCTGCTTGCCATCAAAAGAAACAAGCGATACAGAGCCTACAAGCTTCTTGTTCTTTTGTGCTGCAGAGAAGAGGCAGCCCATGTACATGCTACCTGTCCACTTTTCCAGTAGTACACACAGAGTACAGAGAAAGAAAAAGACCCATTTTAAAGAAAGTCATGTGCTTCCCAGAGCCTGTGTACCTTCACATCATTCTCATACAGATGATTTCCTCAGACATGTATGTTACCTTGCTGTGCTCTGGTTATGCTATTATTATTAATCTTGCAATTCCGATCTCATCTCTGGGTTGTTGGTCACATTTCAACCTGTAGATTACCCATTCAGTTCTAGTTTCCTGTGTGATAAATTTGTTGAACTGTTGTGGCCAAATTTCATGCCAGATGTATCTGAACTGTAGTGGTAAATTAAACAATTCTTGCGAACGACAGTTCTAGAAACATTTCTAAAGCACACTAAGACATTTTAGGGATTAAAAGCAATTGTAAGCTTGCCTTGCCATTCTCTAGACATACTGGCTTGCTTTTCTTATTTACAGGTAATATTAATAAGGATCAAGAAGCAGAACAAGTCAGAAAGTACTATCCCACAAGATATTCTGGAGTTCCAAAATGTGCTTTACTCTCAATTCAGTGAAAATTTCAGTTACACTAGCAATTCTGATCCCTTTTATTTCAGTAATGTTGAAACAGAATATTATGTTAAACTTATAGAATTAAAGACATTACATAGAGAATATGAAGCCTAACAAGTTAAAGTTAATAACAAAGTGAAATTAAATGCTTTCAGCTTAACAAAACATGAGATCTCAGTGTGATTGAATCAAAGCAAAAGGTGAAGCATTATTCAGTCTGATACTTTTCTCTCAATTTTGGGATGGAAATTGGCATGTATGTATTACAATTCAGTATTTCTCAGTGTGAAACAGTTCTCTTGAAAATACTTTCCCATATATTATTTGTTAAGTGAACACATATAATAGAATGAGTCTTGGCTCCTTCAGTTTAGTAACAGTGCATGTTTGACACTGCCTGGCAGTTCCTGCAAAGCATTACTTTTGTTAAGTCTTCCTTATAGTAGAATAGCTGTCTTTCAATCATATTCTGAGGGCCTTGTGACAGAATCAGAAACAAAGCTTGGCTTAGACTCAGGACTAAATAACTAAGCAGTTATTTGAGTGTTGTAATAACCATCATCCTTGAGACTTTTGTTCACAGAAAAGTTAGTACTGTGCAAATACAAGAATGTGAGATTACAATCCAGGAATGCCTAGAAGTCCATCTGTAGTAGACAAGAGGAAAGAAATGGCTGATTGACCTTGTCTGGTCATGTTTTGGAAATCCAAGGACCACACTGAGTTATATTAGTAAAATGAGAGTACAGAATAAAGAGTAAGAGTGCAAGTGTATATTCTTATCAGTAAATCCAGGCTCAAACTTTGTAGTACCACCCTTTGTAGACATCCTTATGGGCAGTAAGAGAGGTTGCTTACTCAGAAATGTGCTTTCTAAGCTATTTAGCTCTCCAAGCCA